ATCCAATATCATCACACTGATTGGAGTCAAGGTTGGCTCACTCCTGGCTCCAATTAGCTCTGGGAGAAGTCATTGAGCTAGGGCCTCACATACTTTTTCCTCCCTGCACTGTGAATGTTTACATGTCATGTGCAATTAAACCATGACAACATCTAATGTTTGTGTAGTATTATGTTCAGCAGACTGTGTTCTTCTATTGTTGTGACTTAGATGATGTTCAGAGCACATTTTATGCCCAATTCATGCAAAACTCCACGTAATCCCAAGGGGTTCACATACTTTTTCTTGCAACTGTATATATATATTACTATTTTTGGGCTAGTTTTCCTTTGATAATGCAAAAAAAACAAAAACAAAAAAAAAACAGGAGATATCCATTACCATTTACCTCCAAATGAAAGCCCAATTTGTACTGAAAAAAACAAGGTATATTCCGACTGGATACAGTAAGTAGTTGCAATGGTATGTATACTTTTATTAACACATGACAAAGTTGAAAAACTGTGTTCAGGTGTTATTAGTTTTATCTTTGTCATGGAGGGATTTGACAACCTTCAGGTCACTGGCAATAATTATTATATGTGGACGTTAATGTGAGTAGAAAGTTGTGAATACAGTATAAGAATAAACAAAACAATATGGAACGTGGTATACTTAGTGTTTTTGACACCCAAGGGTGCGCTATAGAAACACAGATTTTCAGTAATAATAATTACATTAAACAAATAATATTAGCAATAATAATTATAATGACCATTTCCATCCATGCACCTTGCAGTTTTCCTCTTTTTGGTAATCAGTGAAAAAATTCCCCCTTACATTGTTGGTCAGTATAAAAGTCCCCCATATATATTGCTGATCAGTGTAGTGCTTCCTTACATTTGTAGTGAGTGTAGTGCCCACTTACATTGATGTCATTGAAGTGCCCATTTATACTGGTAATCTGTATACTGTCCTCTTACATTGGTGGTTAGTTTAGCGCCCCCTTACATTTGGGGTAAGTGAAGTGCCATTTTACACTGGTGGTGAGTGTAGTGCATCCTTAGATTTATAGTAAGTGTAGTGCCTTCTTACATTAGCGGGCAGTGAAGTGCCTATTTACATTCGTGGTCAGTGTAATGTCCACTTATATTGGTTGTTTGTTTAGTGCCCCTTTACACTTTTGGTAAGTTAAAGGCCCTTTTACATTGGTGGTCATTATAGTGCTTCCTTACACTGGTGGTAATTGAAGTGCTCATTTACATTGGTGGTCAGTGTAGAGCTTCTTTAGATTTGTAATGAATGTAATGCCCACTTACATTGGTGGTTAGTGTTGTGTCTCTTTACACTGGTGGTCAGAAAAGTGCATGGTCAGTGCAGTGCCTCTTTTCTTTGCTGGTCAGTGAAGTGCCTATTTACATTGGTGGTCAGTGTAATGCATTTTTATGTTTGTGGTCACATTAGTGCCTCCTTATGATGGTGGTCAGTAAACTACCATTTACATTGATGGTCAGTGAAGTGCCAACTTACACTGGTGGTTAGTGTAGTGTCCTCCTTACAATGGTAGTGAACGTAGTGCCCTCTTACACTGGTGGTCAGTAGAAGAATCCCCCTTACATTAGTGGTCAGTGGGAAGAATTTCTGAACACAAGTGCACCTTGTTCGCCGACAACTTGTTGATGATCCCAGCCTCCCCGGTCACATCTATTCCTAATCTATACTCCGTACTGCGACATTTCTCTCAGGGCTTTGGTCTAACCATTCTAAATCCTTGACACTTAACATATCCTTGGAGGAACAAGTTATTCGCGTTCTCAGAAATTCTTTGACATCTTTTACACAATCTGTATGTGAAAAACTACCCTCCTCTATTTAAAAAATTATCTGGTGAGCTCCAGACATGGCCTTCTAAACCCCCATTTTGGTTCAGTCGTTTGTACTCCGTAAAAATGAACACCTTACTAAGATTATTGTCTTTATTTAGGACTCTTCCGATTCCAGTACATGCCTTGGATTTAAAAAAAAATGTCAACAGTTGCTAAGGTATGTTTTGGGGCGATAAGAGGCCTAAGGTGAATAGGCGTACCTTGCACTCTTCTAAACAGAGGGGCAGTCTGGGGATGCCTGACCTATTTAAATATTACCATGCTGCGCAATTGGCACAGCTAATCTGTTTTCACACTAAATGCACGAGTCTGCTATGGCTGAAGATGGAGGAATCTTTGTATTCAGACAGGCCAATAAGCCATCTTCTGTGGTTACGCTACAAAAGACAGGCCAGTTTTCTCATGCCCTACACTATCATATTCTTTAAACATATGGGACAAACTGATAGCCATACATGGTTTTAAGTCCCTACACACCCCTTTGACCCAACTGTTTAGAAATCCAGCATTCACTCCGGGTTTCCAGCCATATAACTTTACCTTATGGATGAATAAGGGTTTTCTCCTCAAAGTGGATTTATGCAATCATAGAGGGATTACGCATAAACTTGCTTGAGAGAAAGATATCAACTCCTGGACACTGAACTGTTCAGGTATGCCCAATTGACACATTACATGCAGGCTTTAAAAAGCAAGTCAGACTTGACTACTTCCACTTCGATGCAATACCTCTGCCAGAACTTTGCCAAACACACTAGCCATACTGTATATCTATGCTCCATAGTACGTTAACACATAATCCCACAAAAGTGTTCTATATGGAAAAGTGGGAACAAGATCTGAATGAACAGCTAGAGATGGAAGGTTGGTGCAAGCTTGCTCTAGAAGCTTCTAAATCTGTTATCAACACCTCTCTCATAGAGGCTAACTATAAAGTACTTATGGGATGGTATATGGTACCAGTGCGAGTGTCAAAGTATATTCTGGGAGCATCTTCCCAGTGTTAAGAGGTTGTGGATAGGAGGGCACTGTCTTCCACACTTGTTGGTCCTATTAGAAGGTGCAGAGGTTTTGGATCAGAGTATATAACTTTATTTACTCACTTTCTCAAGTGAACGTAGTGAAATCTCCTCAGCAAGCCTTATTGGGATGTAAAATTGAGGGAATGCCTAAGCATACTAAGAAATTGATCACTTTAATTTTTGTGGCGGCCAGAATATCTATTGCAAGATCTTGATCTTGGAGGTCGCCTACATTCCCTGTTGCGCTATTAAAACCAAACTATCATGGATAATGGTCAGTGAACGGCTCTCAACATTGCTCAGTGATGGGGTGACAGTCTTTGACAAAACCTGGGATCCTTTGATCAAATACCTATCAACCTATCTCTGAGAATGGAACAAAGGTTATGATATTGGCTGAATCGGGAGCACCCTCCTTTCTTTTCCATTTGGAAACTCAGGCACTGCCCGAGGGCCCGGGGTCAGTAGGGGGCCCCATGAGATGCCCCTGGTACCTTTTTCATAGGCTTTTTGAGTTTGGGCAAGGACACAGGGGCCCCATGATCCCCTATTGCCCGGGGGCTCCATGATTTGTCAGTCCGCCCCTGTTATTATTATTATTATTATTATTATAATACAGGATTTATATAGCACCAACAGCTTATGCAGGTCTTTTACAACATAAAGTGGGACAGTACTATTACAATACAGTTAAATACAGAAGAAATAGGAGGGCCCTGCTCGTGAAGCTTACAATCAAAATATTGATTATTTATTAACATTTTTAAAAAGTAGAACTTCTGACAAAACATTCTTTAAGGCCATCCAAACACTATTAAATGGGTAAAAATGGGTTAAAAGTGACAGCAAAGCATATTGAGAAAGGGCGTGCAACAAAATGAATTGCTAGGTGAATGTTTGGCGTTTCTTTTTTTTTTTCTTTTAACTGGAATGAAGGCTTTAAATAGAATTTACCCAAGGGCCTCAGAAAGAGTCAAAGATGCAAGAAAATAAGTAACAAGACTAGATTTGTCCTATATTTTCAAACACTTTACACCAACTCAGCTCACATAGTCAGCCACACCTCATCTCCTGGGAACCTACACACTCTATTCCCGAGCCCACCCCTACTACCTTCATATTATGAGTAAAGCAGCTCCAAGCCAAGTGTAATTTGTGTTATGACCCACTGAGTAAACACAATGGTAATTGTATATGGCACTAACACTACATACACAGCCCATATGGGAAACTGTCCGAGAACAGGATTAGTTTGAATAAGCAATTTAGAAGACATCATAGAAACAGAATCTGTATGGAAAATATATTGAAAGAGCACACAGCCTGTGTCAATAAAGCAGATAAGTATTTCTTATGTGTATTTATTTTGTGAAATATGTTTCGTCTTGGGTTCTACTAAGTTTTGAAAACCCTCACCTATGCTTGTGGCTATTAAACAGAGTTACTACGTTAATACAATTCTCAGAATCTGTGGGAAAATACTCGGTGACAATAATTATCTGTACATGCAATCTATGTATTCATCTATTACAATACAAACATTTACAATTGTTTTAATACTAATATATTAAAATGTGTATCTTGTAAAGGTTTATTTTTTTAATCAAAGAAGTATTTACTAAGGTTCCAGAATACTAAAACACAGGAAAAAACCCCACAATGATCAATTCCCAAAGCTTAGTTTAACCACTTCAAGTCCGGACACGTTTACCCCCTTCCTGTCCAGGCCAATTTTCAGCTTTCAGCGCTGTCACACTTTGAATGACAATTGCGCAGTCATGCAACACTGTACCCATATGAAGTTTCAGCATTTTTTTTTTTGAGACAGATAAAAATTTATTATGGTGGTATTTATTCACCACTGGGATTTTAATTTTTGAAAAAAAGTGTTTTTCTTATAACATTTTGAAAATAAAGAATCTTTCTTCATAAATCTTGGCCAAAATATATTCAGCTATCTTTTTAGTACATCAAAAATAACCCAAATTAGTTTATAACCAAAATTTTTTTTTTTTTAATTTTTTTTACATTTTTATTTTATTTTTTATATTATTATTTATATTTTTTTTTTAACATATTGTCACCCTAGCAGTTCATTATCACAAGGCTGTAAAAGCAATAATTTCTCCTTCTCTCTGGTTGCATCCTTGCAACCATTGAGAAATACTGTGAGAGATGTGATTGATCACAGCTTGTCACATGGTACAAGGCTGTTGTGATCATTCACAGATTTCACACGTAGTAAGCAATGATGTCAGAAGTGACATCTTGTTTACTACTATTCATGTGATTACTGATTGGCCAATCAGTGATCACATGATTGGGACCTCACACAGAGGTCCCGTACAGCGATTGGGGACCTCCCAGGAAGCGTGCACAAGCTGAAAAAGCGTGTGCTGTTTATGAACTGCAACCCACTCCTGCACTGCTCCCGTCCGGCCGTTTATATACATGGGTCAGTCGGGAAGGGGTTAAGAAGAGTTGAGATTGAAGTGCCACACCACTGCTAAAAGGTCCAGATACATCTTTATTCAATTAAAGGTCAAGAGTATATTTTGAAAAGTAGACAGTGCATTTTGGGGGTCTAAGTGCCCCCATTATCAGGGTTATTCCAGTGTAAATTGAAAGCACAGGCCTAATCAGCAGCTTGTTTGGCTTTAATGGAATAACGTTGAATCTGGACCTCTTTGCAGTAGTGTGGCGCTTCAAATTCACCTCTTCTTACATTACACTACAAGCCAAGGAGACTGTGTAGATCCTCTGGGGTGTAGAAGCCGCCTGCCTAGGAACCAGATAATTTACACCAACGTTAATAGCTTAAGATATCAGTATCAGTGGAATGAACCTGTGGGTTCAGTACTGCCTTTCCACTTTCCTCAACTTAGTTTAGACTGCAGTATACAGAGCGGCCTTAACATGGGCACTGCGACTTACGCATATATTTGCAAATTTATGCAAACAATTCATGTTAAAAACAATTCTGTTTTTAACATGAATTGTTAGGGTCAATTTGGTTATTTTGCAGGCTGGCTGGTAAGTGTGCTGGGAAATATTTTGTTTGTTTGTGATGTGTGTAGCCCTTCCATGTGCACCTTACTGCAGAGGCTAGTTATAGGCAGGGACGGACTGACAACTCATGGGGCCCCCGGGCAATAGGGATCATGGGGCCCCTGTGTCCTTGCCCAAACTCAAAAAAGCCCATTAAAAAGGTACCAGGGACATCTCATGGAGCCCCCTACTGACCCCGGGCCCTCGGGCAGTGCCTGAGTTTTCAAATGGTCCGTCCGCCCCTGGTTATAGGTTTTTGTAAAGTTGATTAAATTGGGTGTGGGGACACACTGGATGCCTTCAGATGCCATTGTGCTTCACATGCATCCCTGTGCCTTTAAAGAGGGTTGAGGCACACCCACCCTTAATCTATCCACTGCTATATGTGCTCCAGCTTGGAAGACTCTGAAATGTATAGAGGTAGGACTGCAGTACACAGAGGAGCATTGATGTAAGCACTGCAGCTTACACATATATTTGCAAATGAAGCACTTTCCCTTTTTCACGATAAGCATGGCCAATCTTTCCAAAATGAGTTGACTGTCTTAGAGAGTCCTAACGTAAGATATTGCATTGTATTAATGCGCAATCACTTATGAAATGTATATAAAATTATTGAAAACTATTGTATGCACATTCACAGATTTTGTGGTGGTTATCCTAACTATTAAGGCTCTATCGATTATTATCAACATTTCACTCCACATTACTGTCACTGATTTGTATTTAAGAGTTATCTTCAGCTGTCAGATGACCAATGTGTCCAAAGCAGTGTAACAAAGGATTTGACAAGCTGATAGGACATATTTAGAAAGTTTTGTTTACCTAATGAATAGACTTTAAAAAATTCTACCATGAAGAACACTATTATCATACATGTTAGACTTAAATTGCACTTGTTGGCCATTAACCCTTACATTTGAAAACTTAGAACAATAGTCTTTATGTACAATATGTCAATGTGATTTGCTTAATGCAAATAATCTAGTTGGTGTATGTTCATGTTTTAGAAACCTTTGGTATTAGCCTAGCTTGCATTTGTACAGCCATGGCCAAACGTTTTTGAGAATGACACAAATAGAAGTCTGCTGCTTCAGTGTTTTTAGATCTTTTTGTCAGATATTACTATGGTATACTGAAGTATAATTACAAGCATTTCACAAGTACTAAAGGCTTTTATTGACAACTACATTAAGTTTATGCAAAGAGTCAATATTTGCAGTATTGACTCTTCTTTTTCAAGACCTCTGCAATTCGCCCTGACATGCTGTCAATCAACTTCTGGGTCACATCCTGACTGATGGCAGCCCATTCTTGCATAATCTATGCTTGGAGTTTGTCAAAATTTGTGGGGGTTGTTTTGTTCACCCATCTCTTGAGGATTGACCACAAGTTCTCAATGGGATTAAGGTCTGGGGAGTTTCCTAGCCATGGATCCAAAATTTTGATGTTTTGTTCCCCAAGCCACTTAGTTATCACTTTTGCCTTATGACAAGGTGCTCCATCATGTTGGAAAAGGCATTGTTTGTCACCAAACTGTTCTTGGATGGTGGGGAGAAGTTGCTCTCGGAGGAGGTTTTTGTACTCTTCTTTATTCATGGGTGTGTTCCTAGACAGAATTGTGAGTGAGCCCACTCCCTTGGCTGAGAAGCAACCCCACACATGAATGGTCTCAGGATGCTTTCCTGTTGGCATGACACAGGACTGATGGTAGCACTCACCTTTTCTTCTCTGGACAAGGTTTTTTCCAGAAGCCCCAAACAATCAGAAAGGGGATTCATCAGAGAAAATGACTTTACCCCAGTCCTCAGCAGTCCAATCCCTGTACCTTTTGCAGAATATCTGTCTGTCCATGATGTTTTTCCTAGAGAGAAGTGGATTCTTTGCTGCCCTTCTTGACACCAGGCCATCCTCCAAATATTTTTGTGCGTGAAGATGCAGTCACAGCTGCCTGCTGCCATTCCTGAGCAAGCTCTGCACTGGTGGTACCACGATCCCGCAGCTGAATCAACTTTTTTTTGTTTACAAACGATTTTATTGTACATAAGTAGACAGTAAAACAACAGCACAGTATGAAAGTGATATTGTCAACAAAAATATGGCACATTTGAACCGTACAATACATAAAAGTATATTAACATAAAAAAGAAGATAGAGGAAGAAAGAAAGTTATGAGTGCATGAGATACATAATGATAAAACAGATTGAGTGATACAGCTATCAACAATATATGTCAGCCATTCCTTATTGGGGATGTTGTCAATCATGCAATAAATGTCTACAATCCTTCCATGACTCCCATTTTTTATCGTATAAGTGCATCTTATCCAGTAGTGTATAATGAATACGTTCCATAAGCATTACAGCGTCAATTCTGTGTAAAACAGAGTCCAAGGGTACAGCATTAGACCGCCAATGCAGGGCAATGGACCACAAAGTGGCAATACATAATGTATGTAGCAATCTCAGAGTGGCATCAGAGACCCCTGGGATATGAACCCCCAATAAACAGGTCTGTATAGACAACTGTATCGGGTTGCCCGATAGTGAGGTAGCCACCTCAGATATCTTACGCCAGATCAAAGATATGTTTGGGCAATCCCAAAACATATGGACCAAAGTACCTGTGCGGCCACAACCCCGGAAACATAAAGGGGATGTTTGTGGGAACATTGTATGTAGTCTGGACGGAGTATAATACCATCTGGTTAAAACTTTAAGGGCCGTCTCACGAACCGAAAGAGATCTAGAGCTCTTGCATATATTATCCACCATGGAGTCCCAATCCTCATCCGAAAAAGTGATACCACAATCCTCCTCCCACCTCTGCCTGTACATAGGAGGAGCATGAAAAAGACAGATCAAAAATTGGTGATAAAGATCTGAAATAAGACCCCTACCTCTAGGAGAGTCACGGCTGACACGCTCAAAAAAAGAGATCGGAGAAGAAGACGGGGTAAGGCCAAAGTGTGCATTAAAAAAGTGCCTAATCTGTCTATAACGAAGGTACTCACGAAGAGGAACATCAAATAGCACGCGCAGCATATCGAAGGTAATATAAGATCCTCCTCTTTGGAAATCAGATAATCTGATAAAGGATCGATCATACCACCAACGAAACATGTGAGGGGAAGAGAAGGCTACAACAAAAGTAGGATCACCAAAAAATGAAACACCTGGGGGAATATGAGAGAGACTAAACTCAGCTTAGCCTTGTATTTGGACCAAAGTGTCAGTGAGTGGGTCACTATAGAGTTATGAAAAGTAAGCGATCGGGGGGAGATTTTAGACCACAAAATTCCCGGTAAATAAAAAGGACGTATCGACTGAGACTCAAACTTAATCCATGGGATTTGAGAGTTAATAGTAGCCCATTGTGACAATTGCGCAAAACGAGCCGAGAGGTAATATAGCCAAAAATTGGGAAGACCAAGACCTCCCGTCCGTTGTGAGCGAGCGATATAAAATGGATGAGGCAAAACGTGGATGCTTATTTCCCCAAATAAAATTGTTAATAATCCGCTGAAAATGATCCAAAAACGTTTTTGAAACCGGAACTGGAAGTGCTCTAAAAAGATAAAGTAGTTTGGGCAAGATATTCATTTTAACCGCCGTGACTCTACCCAGAAAGGAGATATGATAACCATGCCAAATCTTCAGTAGAGTAGAGAGACGTGACACACATGGTGGATAATTAGCCACAAACACATCAGAGTATCTTGGAGCAAGATTAATCCCCAAATAGGATATCCTGTCCTTGACCCAGCGAAATGGAAAAGAACTACGGAGAGATGCACTTAGGGAGTCAGGAACATTAACAGGCATAATTACCGATTTGGTAAAATTAACAGTGAGGCCTGACACTTTAGCAAAATCATTCAATACGGCACACAAATTGGGCAAAGAAGTCAACGGGTTAGTAATAAAAAGCATAACATCATCAGCATACATGCTCAGCTTAAAGTGTGAAACTAATAACGAATAACCAGAAATATCCGAATGTGATTTGATCGCCAATGCCAAAGGTTCCAACACCAGCGCAAACAAAAGGGGCGAAAGAGGACAACCCTGACGGGTACCTCTACCCAATGTAAAAAAGTCAGAGTTACAGCCAGGAAGCCTTATTCTTGTTTTAGGAGAATCGTATAGGGCATGTATGCCTGCCAAGAACCCATCACTGAAACCCATTTTCTGTAGCAAAGAGAACAAGTA